TTATGTTAATCACCATACATTACATCATTAGTTTTTGATGTAGTGTTCCATGATTCATTGTTTGTGCATAACACCCAGTGCTCCATGCAGAATGTGCCCTCTTTAATACCCATCACCAGGCTAACCCATCCCCCCACCCCCTCCCCTCTAGAACCCTCAGTTTGTTTTTCAGAGTCCGTCGTCTCTCATGGTTCGTCTCCCCCTCCGACTTACTCCCCTTCATTCTTCCCCTCCTGCTATCTTCTTCTTTTTTTTTTTCTTAACATATATTGCATTATTTGTTTCAGAAGTACAGATCTGTGATTCAACAGTCTTGCACAATTCACAGCGCTCACCATAGCACATACCCTCCCCAGTGTCTATCACCCAGCCACCCCATCCCTCCCACCCCCCACCACTCCAGCAACCCTCAGTTTGTTTCCTGAGATTAAGAATTCCTCATATCAGTGAGGTCATATGATACATGTCTTTCTCTGATTGACTTATTTCATTCAGCATAACACCCTCCAGTTCCATCCACGTCATTGCAAATGGCAAGATCTCATTCCTTTTGATGGCTGCATAATATTCCATTGTGTATATATGAACCACCTCTTCTTTATCCATTCATCTGTCGATGGACATCTTGGCTCTTTCCACAGTTTGGCTATTGTGGACATTGCTGCTATAAACATTGGGGTGCATGTACCCATTCGGATCCCTACATTTGTATCTTTGTGGTAAATACCCAGTAGTGCAATTGCTGGATCGTATGGTAGGAGCTCATACTCTTAACCATCACACTGAACACACCCCGGGGAATCATGTGGGATCCATGAAGGGGTTTCGGGACAGCTGGCTTTGTGGGTAGGGCCATGGATGGGAGTTTTGAAGGGTCTTCAGGTTGAGCCGCCCCGTTTTCTGTTCCCTTTCCCTTCCTCTGACCTGTCCGGGGAGGTGGATCTCACTGGTACACACTCAGGTCTTCTGTTTAGCACTTCATGAAAGATAGCAGCTCGTAGAGCACAGGGCATGGGCTTTGGGGTCAGGCAGCCCAGGCTTCAGCAACTGTTCGGCTTCTTATCAACTCTTTGATCCTGAGCTGCTTACTTAGCCTCTCTGAGCTTCAGGGAAACGAGGGTAACAGCAACCACCTGACCTGTTGTCGTGGGGGCCGACCCGGTGAGAAAATGCGTACAAAGCTGGGTACGATGCCGGGCGCTTGGTAAGGCCACAGGAAGCGGTGCTGCCTCTGTGTGCCTCACTCCTTTGTTTGGTCCAAGGCGTACACGATGAGCCCTTGGGTGTGTTGCTAAACATTTCCTGGGGAGGCAGCTTCATGGAAAGGAAAGAACGTGGACTTTGGGGGGCCGGTGCTACTGACCAGTCTCTTGTTTAACCTTTCCGGGCCTCAATTTTCCACCGTAAGCTAATGTCAGTATTATAGGATCTAGTGACTGTCTTGAGATGGGGTGTGAAGTTGGCCTGTGGACGTGTTTGGACGTGTTCTCTTGACGTCAGTTCTTGCCATCGGGTCTTGTGGTTTTCTCCATTTCATTCACATCAATCGTGACTCATCCCAGACTGTTTGCTCTCTGAGGACAGGTTCTCTCAGTCTTAGGTTTCTCTCATCCCTCCTGCCAGCACCTAAGTTAGAGGCATAGTAGGTGTTCATTAAACGGGAGTTGGCCTGCTTTTGTGGTGGGCTTTCTCAGCATTTAGCTGCACTTTCGCACCAGCTTCCTAGACTTTTCTAGACTTTGATCTACGCCATCCCGCTGAGCTCAAGGAAGTGCCTGGAAGCTGGTTGAGCAGGAAAGGGCCAACTTGTGAAATGGCCACCAAACATTTTATTTGTTTTACTAAATAGTCGGGGTCTAAGACAGCCATGAGGGAAGGGGAGGGGGAGAGCGAGCCAGAAGGCAGGGAGCCTGGGGGGAAGGCATCATCAGATGGCAGTCTCTGGCAACTAAATCAGCTGAGGGAACCCGTCCTGGCCCGAGTCCACCCTGTTTTGGAAGATGCGCCTGCTGCTGTCTACCCTCTGCCCGTGCTCCTCCTCGGCGTCGTCCTCGCTCGCCTTGCGCCGGGCGTTCTGGTAGAGCACTGCGCACATGCCCGTGAGCCAGGCGGCCACGGTGCCCGTGGAGAAGATGCAGAAGCCGATGAGCAGCAGGAAGATGTAGTCCTGGCGGTCCAGGTGCGTGATGCACATGTACCGGAGCGGGTTCCCCACCTGCGTGATGGGCCACCCCACCAGCTCTGCGGGCTCCACGCACGTGGCATTTTGATCATCTGCAAGGAAAAACACAGCGGGCAGAGTGCTGAGAGAGTAGAACCGCCAGGGTTGCAGGTCCAAAGGGGACCCGGAGAGGCCATGTGGACCCTCGCTACTGAGAGTGTGGTCTGTGGGCCAGTGGCATGGGTGGCAGCTGGACCTCATTAGAGATGCACGCTCTCAGGCACCCCCCAAACCTCCCGAATCAGAATCTGCGTGTCAACAAGGTGACAGGCAGGCACAGTCAGGTTTGAGACGTACTGCACCCGCGCTGCTTCTTGCCCCTGCCCCGCTTCTGATTTCGCTGCAGGCAGCTTGCCTCCTGAAAAGGGCCTTGCCTTCTTCTTTTTTTTTTTTGAAGATTTATTTATTTATCTGAGGGAGAGGGTGGGGAGGGGCCAAGGGAGAGGGAGAGAGAGAGAATCTCCAGCAGACTCCCCGCTCAAAGCAGGGCCCAATGCCAGGCTGGATCTCTCGACCCATGAGATCATCATGTGAGCCGAGAGATCAAGAGTCAGAGGCTTAAATGACTGAGCCACCCAGGCGCCCCTGCACTTGGCTCCTTACGGATCCTCCAGGAACGAGACCCCACAGCAGGGGCTGGGAGGTTGGAAACAAGCAAGATCTCTACGGAGTGTTGCCCCTCCACAGAGCCCCCCGTCAGTATCTGTCGCCTCCCTCTCCCCTCCCTGTTCTTGGCTCCCACTTCTCCCCTACAACCTTGTCCCTCTCCCTTCACCCCGGCCTGAGTCCAGCCAGGGGCCACAAGGGTGTCACAGCTGGCTCACCTCTCGGGAGGGACAAGATTCCCTGGAAATGCCTCCGATGTGTTCTCCACTCAGGGAATCGGGGCGTGGGGAGCTCAGAGAAAAGGATCGCCAGTAGGAGAGGCAGTTCTGCTTCTCAGCGGTGAGGCTGGCATCACGGGCTCATCACACGACCTACATGAGTCTTCGGTCCTTTTTAGCAGCTGACTCAGCTGCCTGGCTACTTCTCTGAGCCCCTCCCCATGTCAAGTGCCATAGACTTGAGTGTATAACAGAAAGCAAAGTGGGCTCTGGGGGAGCCAGACAGACCAGGGCTCAAATCTAGACTGTTACTTACTAATTTTGTAAACTTCGGCAGGATATCCATTTCCCTCTCTGAATCCATTTCCTCACCGTTACACGTGCAAAGAATGCTACCTGTTCCCAGAGTAATTGAGAGGGTTTAATTGCCACAGGCGAGGATGCAAGCCACTGTGCCTGGTGCTCAGTAGTTGCACACAGAACTCAGAGCTTTGCCCTCAGCCCTGCCTTTTCCTAGCTCCATATGCTCCGCCCCGTTGATGCAGAGGTGCCTGTGTGTGTGTGTGGTGCCAGGGGAATGTATCCAGCAGGCATTACATAAATGAGCTCCAACGCAGGGTGGAGACCAGGGCTTGAGATAATCATGCTCAAAATTATAATAGCTGCTAATATTTTCCAAGCTCTGACTACATTCTAAGCGGTATACAAACGTCTTGTTTCATTCTTATAACAACTTTGACACACACAAGTCTATCATTCTTGTTTTACACATAAGGAAACAGACTCACAGAGGTTTCTAGATAACCTGAAGGATCTAGGCAGGAGACAAGACACAGAAAACGCAGACCGAGCTATCTAAGCTCGTCTACAGAAGTGGCAGACACAGACAAGCTAGTGTGGAGCTGCAGGTTATGTGAATGCATTCCTATCCTTGGTAACCAAGGAAGTTAGGGAAACTGGGTTTGCACAGGGGAATTAGGGAAAGGGGTACAGAAGTGAGCTGAGTGGGGAGGAGGCCGTTGGGCCTGGGGGGCTGTCGAAGTCCCTTGCAAGCTGGATAGCATTCCCCGCGCCTCACCCCTGTGCCAGTGCACCTGTGGTGAATGGTTGGTTATTTTCAGGACGATGGTCCGAAGGCCGTGATGCCTTTGAGGACTGGCTCTTGGTGGAGGCTGTAGACACAGGAGTGGAAAGCAGTGTGGGGCGGTCACCTCCATGGTGTGCAAAGATTACAGAGGGGAGGAGAGGAAGAGGTCCTCTGGGGGGACCATGCTCCAAGGGGAGAGTTCTCAGGAGAGGAAAAGGGGTGGGGGCCGGGGGCTCCATTACACTTGGCGTCAAGAGGCAGGAGCCCAGTCACACCTGGAGTCCTCTCTCCACTCAGCCTGGCTGGAGGGCGTCTGGGGCTTGGGTCACCTCCCCAAACTGCCAGAGACCTGGTATGGGACAATACAAAGAAAGATGTGTTGGGGAAAGGAAAATGTGGGATTCTGTGGGTTGGGGGTTTATCTCCTTCTATTTTAAGAAGATTCAGCTTTCAAACTGGGGCTTTAGCGGCAGACTAAACATGAAACACCGTGTCCCGTTTGGGAGCATTACCTTGAAAGGGGCAATTAGCAGTGATTTGAAGGCTTTGTTAGGTTGCTCTTAAGTGCGGGATGTGGATGTGGGTGGCTCTGCGGGGAGGGAGACCTGGGTTTTTCTACTGCTGCATTCTCTCCCCCTCCCCATTCCCCAGGCACTGCCAAGGTGGTAGCCCTCCTACCTCCCAGCAGGTCTCCCTAACTCCACTTTCCCCATTGCCCAGCTCTGGACCATTTCACACACCCCTGCCAGATTTCCCTTCCTCAAGCACAGCTCTTCCCAGGCAAACTCTGGCTCAGAGCCCTCCTCTGACTCACCTGTAGGCCTGGGAATAACATCCAGACCACCTGGCCCGGTGCTCAGAGCCCTCCGCACCTGCCCCCTACTACCTCGCCATCGCCCTCCCCACTTCCTGGCACTCCAGTGACCGACACTTTGCTCCAGTCAAATTAAACTATTAATTCCTTGATTGCATCTTGCCCTTACCAGTAGCTAGCCTGGGGACGTGCTCTTTCTGTATCAAATGTCTCTTCCTCCAGTTTTTGCCTCATCAAGTCCTTCCTAGCCTTCAACATCTGGTGTGAGTCAGTGCGCTCCCAGGAGCGTTTCCATAGCCCCCTCACCCTTGTAGCTCAGACTGCATGGGGTCATTCCCACTCCTGGACCCACCATTGCGTTCTCACTGCGCCTGTGACACTCTCCCTCCCTTGGAGGCTCTTGGCCAGAGGAGTGTATCTTTTCTCCCCAACCAGACAGACAAAACTCTTTTTTTTTTTCTTAAAGATTTTATTTATTTATTTGACAGAGAGAGACAGTGAGAGCAGGAACACAAGCAGGGGGAGTGGGAGAGGGAGAAGCAGGCTTCCCGCTGAGCGGGGAGCCCGATGTGGGACTCGATCCCAGGACCCTGGGATCATGACTTGAGCCGAAGGCAGACGCTTAACGACTGAGCCACCCAGGCGCCCGACAGACAAAACTCTTGAAGACAGAATCCGTGTCTGATCATTGTTGTTCTTGTTAATAAGAGGTATCATTTCTTGAAAGAAATACTTAATTTGGGGGGATTTTCTAGTAATATATATATATATTTAAAGATTTTATTTATTTTGACAGAGAGAGAGAACACAAGCGGGGGAGCGGCAGAGAGAGAGAGAGAAGCAGGGTCGCCGCCGAGCAGGGAGCCCGACACGGGACTTGATCCCAGGACCCCGGGATCATGACCTGAGCCGAAGGCGGACGCTTCACCGACTGAGCCACCCAGGTGCCCCTCTAGTAATATTTTTATCGTTGAATTCTACTTTAATTCTACCGTGGTCAGAGACATACTCTCTATGATTTCAGTCCTTTGAAATTTATTGAGAATTTGCTTTATGGCTGAACATAAAGTCAATTTTAGTAAGTTTTCATGTGCCCCCAAAAGGTGTGTATTCTATCTTTGCTGAGGGTGTCGTTCTATGGATGCCAATTAAGTTGTGATTTTATACAGGTCTTCTGTATATTTGTTGACTTTGTTATTTATATCTTTACTGACTTTTTATCTATAAAAACTATTGTCTCTTGGTGACTCTTAGTCTATTAATGGTCTACTAGCTACTGTGAGAAGGATGTTCAGGTGACCAGTTTTGATTGTGCATTTACCTACTTCTTCATATAGCTCTGTCATGTTTTGCTTTACATATATTGAAGATATGTTATTAGATGTGTAGAAAGTTCTGTTTCCTCTTCCTGGTAGATTTACCCTCTTCTCACTGAGCAAACTCTCTCGTTATTTCTAGTAATGCTTCTTGCCTTAAAGTCTGCCATCTTTGACATTAGTGTGGCTCCATCGAATTCCTTTTGGTTAGTGTTTGCCTTGTTTATCTTTTGCCATCCTTTTACTTCTAATCTGTCTATGTTCCTATATTTAAGACATATTTTTGTAAGCAGCATGTAGCTGGGTTTTGTTTTCCATCCAGTCTAGCAAACTTTGTATTGTAATTATTCCACTAACATTTAATGTTAGACTGATACATTTGTTTTCAATTTGTCCCACTTATTTTTATGTCTCTTTCTCTCTACTCTGTTGCCTTTTATTTTATTATTTCATTTCCTTTTCATTAGTTTGATAGTCATACATTATTTTCCTATTCTGGTCTGATGTCATTAGAGATTATCGACCCAACTACTGACCCTGGAGTGCCTGGTGTGTGCTGGGCATCACAGAAGGTGCTTTACAAAATTAAGCTCTATTCTTGACCACCTCACTGAGCAGTTTTAATTATTCCCATGCTATAGAATGAATAAATTATTTATCAGTTATTCCCTTTCTGGCTCTTGATTTCCTTTCCTCTGACAAAAGGCTACCAAGTACTGTTGTACATGCTGTGCACTGCACAACTCCAGGGCCTTTATGCATATTAGAAACAGGTGACTAGCCCCCATGTCCTCCCTCTCTCAGCCCCATTCCATGGGCCCAGGGCATTTGTCCCAGTTAAAGCTCCCAGGTACAATTACAGGTGTCATTAATGTTTAAATTCTTCCGGCAAATAGTTCCTAAGGAAACATCACCCCCCATCTGGTTTGTTTCCACACATAGCATGTTACTCCCAGGCAGAAAACCTGTTTGCCAGAATCCTGTGTCTGCAGGAGCAAGAGTTTCTGTGGCT